GCGGCTGGGGACGCGTCCGATGTGTCGTCCCTCCTGTCCGGAGCGGCTGGGGACGCGTCCGAGTGTGTCGGTCCTCCTGTCAGGGCGGCTGGGGACGCGTCCGATGTGTCGTTCCTCCTGTCAGGGCGGCTGGGACGCGTCCGGTGTGTCGGTCCTCCTGTCAGGGGGCTGGGAACGCGTCCGAGTGTGTCGGTCCTCCTGTCAGCGGCTGGAACGCGTCTGTCCGTGTGTCGGTCCTCCTGTCAGGGCGGCTGGGGACGCGTCCGAGTGTGTCGGTCCTCCTGTCAGCGGCTGGGGACGCGTCCGAGTGTGTCCGTCCTCCTGTCAGGGCGGCTGGGGACGCGTCCGAGTGTGTCGGTCCTCTGTCGAGCGGCGGTGGGGCGCGTCCGAGGGTGCCGGTCTTCTTGTCAGGGCGGCTGGGGACGCGTTCGAGTGTGTCGGTCCGTCCTGTCGGAGCGGCTGGGGCGCGTCCGAGAGTGTCGGTCTCCTTGTAAGGGGCGGCTGGGGACGCGTCCGAGTGTGTCGGTCCTCATGTCGGAGCGGCTGGGGACGCGTCCGAGTGTGTCGGTCCTCATGTCGGAGCGGCTGGGGACGCGTCTGAGTGTGTCGGTCGTCCTGTCGGAGCGGCTGGGGCGCGTCCGAGGGTGTCGGGTCTTCTTGTCAGGGCGGCTGGGGACGCGTCCGAGATGCGTCGGTGCTCCTGTCGGAGCGACTGGGGACGCATCGAAGGGTGTCGATCCTCTGTCGGAGCGGCTCCGGGCATAGTTGTTCGCATGGACGGTAACATTGGCATCGTATGGACTCGGAATAAGTGTGTGGACTGGACAGGAATGTTATATAGTAGATGATGAAATCGTCCATTGACCGTTGGCTGAAATCTACGTTTCCGAATGGTTTTAGCTATGTGTTCGCGCTCCGCGCAAGGTTGTGTTTGAACAGCGTCAAATCTGGCGCAGTGGCTCCTCGTGCCGATGTTAGAACTATGGTTGGAAATAACCTGTCCTTTGCGACCGAAATCGGCAGCAACGAGAAGGTTTCCTTTTTTTAATCAACTGGCAACAGATGTGGAAAAGTGACGGTGTAATGGCTTTTATACACGATGCTCCGTGCATACTCTGCTCTTTATGATGATGCTCTGTGTCTCAACATTAGATGACGAGGACCGTTTCTGTCACGAACGAAAAGGGCATAATCGTCAAGCGGTTAACACGTGACATTCCACCTGGGGGGAGGGGCTGTGAGGGGCTGTCTTCCCCATTGCGACCCGAACGTTTCCCCAGTGTGAGCAGACCATTCCCCCGAGTGTGACCTAACCTGTTGGTTCCATGTGGCCTAACCCCTTGGTCCCATGCGACCTAACCCCTTGGTCCCGTGTGTTCTAACCGTTGGTTAGGCGTGACGTGGTCACTCCCGTTCCCCGTGTGACCCTATCGCCCACCCCCAGTCAGCTGTCCAGCCGGCTCGTGGCCAGCGTGACCCGCGCGCCCGCCCACAGACGGTGGCCGACTGTGAGCTGTACAGGCTGCCGGAGCCGTTCTGCGACCTGCGCCGGCTGCCGCCGCAGGCGCTCCGCCTCAGGCTGGCCGGCGTGGTACCGGTGGAGCTGGTCTGGCGCCTGGACGACGCCGGCGCCGTCCAGTGTCACGTGGAGTAGGTCACACCGGCCGAGACTGGTCACGCAGCGCTTAGATTGTGCCAAGGGGGACTTAGTTTGGAGTCAGCTGGTCTATATTGACAGATTGAGAATCGCCTAATGTGTATGCCAATAACGGGCTGTTTAGGAGTTTTCCATATGTCCTGCAGTTGTGTTCTCTGAATAGAATGCCAGAATGTTCCACCTCCGCAGTCACCTCTGCCTATGCGCGTTCCGCTGAGTATGCGGCGTATCGAAAACGCCGCAACAGCTCTGCAGTCCGCGCCTCCCCAAGCCGTGACCGTCGTCCGGTCCGCGACCCCGCCCCTGCCCTCTCCCCCCCCCCTTAACCGCCGGCGGTGCCCCCTCGGCAGCCGGGCGGCGCACTGGAGCGAGGCCGCCTGCCTGTTCGTCTCGCGCCAGCTGACGCCGGGCACGCTGTGCCGCCTGAGAGGGGCGCGCGCCGACCGGCACGGCACGCTGCACGCGCGCCTCCTGCCGTTGGACGAGGCGGCCGGTGACCTGGCCGACCGGCTGGTGGCCGACGGCCTGGCCTGGCGCCGGCCGCATGACGGTGAGGCGCGCCCCGCTGCTGCTGGTGACGGCGGTGACGGCGACGGTGACGGTCGTGATGACGGCAGGAGTGAATGTAATGGTGGAGTTGATGATGGGCATGGGGCTGTGGTGAGTGGGGGCGACTATCGTGTGATTTGTGATGGTGAGGATAATGTTGGGGGTGAGATCATTGTCGCACCGAGCCCGCTTGGCATCGTTCCCTGTCTGTCACGCGGCGTCGCAGTGCTCAGTCCTCGACCCTGCTGGCGTGACGTGCTGACGTGTGCGCCGTGTCCCCAGAGCTGTCCTCCTCGGAGGCAGAGAACGGCGACCCGGCGCCGGCGGCCAGCCGTCGGCAGCGGGAGGTGCTCGACTCGGACGACTCGGAGGAGCCCTGCAGTTCTCCGGCACCGAGCGCGCAGGTGAGTGGCGGCGTCAGCTCACGGTGGCCGCGGTGCTGACGGTGTTGTGGGGGGGGGGGGGGACGCAACTCGGGCGTTTGCGTCACCAGAGGATGTCTGCCCAGATCTGGGCGGAGACTCGTGGCGACAAGCCCATGCAGAATCGGCTGGGGCGTGAGGCGATATCAAAGACAACGTTATGGTACCGGTAGAAATTGGCAGCGAAAAGACCTTCGCTGCGTCATCTACGGAGGACGGTGAATGGCTCGGAGGCGTGCTGTAAGGGCAAAACACGATGCCCCGTTTGACTTCTGAATGTCGTGTGGTGATTGCTGCATCGTTAAATGTTTGAGCCGCCCCGTGTCAAACGATACGTTTCCGGATGCTGTGCGGTATGCTTGCGTTGCGACAAAACTCGCGCTCGCCCTCCCCCCCCCCCCCCCCTTCATCGTGGGCTTTTATTCTTTTCAGGAAGACTTGTCGGCAGCAAAGAAGGCATTCAGGCTGGAGCAGAAGCGTCTAGCAGATGAGCTTAAAGGCCAGCGGGAGAGAAATCTGGTACCGTTGAGCTGTGGAACGCAAGGAGAGCGTTTTACAATTGTAATGTACAAATGTACAAATGCATGTAAAATGTACAAATGGTTGTAGGTGTAATGTTGCTGCGCTGACCTTCATGGCAGCAGTTCTTTCACTTCTATTCTTTGTTTTGTGCTTGTCACTTACCCAATCTGTTAAGGGCCGCCTCCGTCTGAGAATGGAGCCGGTTGTGATTCTTCGGTTCAACCAACATACTAAATAAACGTTAGCCGTATGTATTCTTCTCTCTTACTGTCAGCGCTACCATACAGTGGCCAATGGGCCCAGAGAAGCGTTCTACGCGGCCATTGCATTCGGGCAATCCAAGTCAAAGCGCAGAATTGATCTCTCGGTATCTGGCTCGTGGCTGATCACTGATGTGAGTGGAATCACCGCCCCGCTTTTGGTTACTGTATCTGACGTGTTCGGCTCAGTTTGTGTGGTGCATAGCAGTGTGGTTATGTGGCAACATCCCCTCCTCCAGTCAGCCTATTGGCGCTGTCTGGACGGCTATCCCCTACCTACTGGCGCTGTCTGGACGGCTATCTGTCTTGGCTGACGTAATTTGGCGATGGTGGGATTCGTCCCCTCGCCCTCCCAGAGGCCCATGTATTTCTCCCGTGAAAGAATCCGCCGTTATTTTCGCCGCCGCCACGTCCTGATGTGCCGCCGCGGGGCTCCCCACGTCACGCTCGCCCCCATCGCGCCGTTCGTGTCGCCCCTGGTGAGCTCTCTAAACCTTCGGTCGGTGCTGCTCTCCCAGCTGCCGGAGGCGGAGCTGGAGGACCGGTGTGGGCGTCTGCAGCGCAGCCTGACCGGCCTGCTCGTGCAGGGTGATGTGCACTCTTCCCAGGTACAGCCTCGTCGGCCTGTCTGCCGCTGGTCGGCGTGTGGTGCTGTGGCCGGGCGATTCACTGCGGCCCTCGGGCGGTTCGTCGACCGTCTCTGCTTGTGGAGATCTGGGGGCGTTCGATCGGCCACGCGTCGAGGTCGCGCGGGCCCGGTTTCTGTCGGCAGTGGCGCTGTTGGTGTTCGATGTATCGGCTGGGTCGACAAATGACACACATACGCTGTTTTGAGAGATTGTCTGTCGAAAACTCGCACGTCATGATCACGGACCTGGTGACCTGTCACGCTGTTCTCCGTCATCGGTCGTCGCGTCGTTATATCACGCGGCCGTCACGCCACGGACGCGGTACCTGTTCACGGGCGTTGATGTCATCACTTGCGCGTGGTATGGAGTCTAGAAATATTCTACGGTGTACTTCATACAGCCGATGAATAGATTTATACGAGTCCAGATGGCATTGTTCTGCTTTGGCGTTATTATTTAGGGACTTAACAAGCAACTCTTCGTTGTGTCACAGCTCACAAGTCCATTTACTGAGAACCGTGACTTGCGCTGGTGTTCTCGTGTTCTCCGACGTTTCTGCCCCGCAGGCCGAGATCCCACCGGTTGGCCCCGTCGGCGGAGAGCTCGGCGTCGCCTTCGCCACGCCCGTGGCCCCTCCGGCTGCCGTCGGCCGCGGCAGTCCGGCGCCCGTCGATGCTGGCGCTGCCCCGCGCGGCCGCGGCTCCGGCGCCGCGCCGCCGGCCGCAGCGGGCAGCGCCGGTCGCCGGCCGGCCGGGCGCGCCGCGCGCGTCTTGGCCGTAATGGGCGCGGCCGGCGCGCCACCGGAGCGGCCCGACGCGACCTCGGCGGCCGGAGACGCGTCGCTGGGGAGGGTGCGGCCGGTCGGCGTCGCCGGACCCGACTCCCTGAGCGACGCGGCACGGCCGGAGTCGCTGGACGGCCGAGCGCCGTCGGACGCTCCCGCCGCCGCCGCGTCAGCTGACTCGCCGCGCAGCGAGTCGGCCGGGGCCGCCTTGCCGGCCGGCTCGCTCTCCGAGGCGCTGCGCCAGCTGCGTAGCTCGCCCGGCTCGTCGGACGAGGCGCGCCGTCTGTCGCTGGTGCCGGCCGGCCAGACGTCGGCGGCGCGGCGCGCGGCCGCGCGTCAGGCTGAGCTCGACCGGCGCCAGGCGGAGCTGGAGCGGCGTTGGCGGCAGCACGGCTGGGTGGGCACCGACAGTGCTGGGGAGCGGGCGCAGCGGCAGGAGAGAGGGGCGGCCGAAGAACCGTGCGCAGACGGCGTACAAGCCCGTGGCTCCGTGACATCGCCGCAAAAGGAAGTGGCGTCGGTGACGGGAAGCAACGCGTCTTCCGTGGAGTGGGAGCGGCCCGCTTCGCAGCGGGACGAGATTGTTCCGACGATGCAGCGGGTGGAGACGTCTCCGCTCCCGCAGGTCACGACTTCGTCGCAGAACTACAGACCTGCGTTTGCGGAGGGAGTCAAGACGTTGCCACTGAGAGGGAAGACCTTTCCGCTCTCGAGACGGGGCGAGGCAGCTCCGTCATCAACGCGGAGCAAGGCGTCTCCTTTCTCGCAGGGAGAGAGGCCTCCGTTCTCGAAGCTCGGTGGCCCGTCCCCCTTCCCGAGTCGCGACAAGTCGTCACCGCCACCGGGTCTCCCTCAATCCAGCAAGCCTTCACAGCACATTGCACGAGCCGGGCCCCCTCCCAGCTCAGACTCATCCACCAAGCGACCACTGGACCACTCGGAGGCCGTGGCCCCAGCCGAGCGCCCGGTCCAGGTTGACAGGCCCCCTGGCGGTGCTCCGATTGGGGCAGGAGGCGCCGAGGCGCCGACCGGCTCGGCTCTGCGCCGCCGCCTGGCCCGGTTCGAGCGCGTCTCCTCCGGCGCCTGGCAGCAGCGGCTGCTGGGCGCCAAGGTTGGCGCCGCACCGGCTCCGGCCTCGGTACCGAGTGGTGCATCAGCAGCCCTCGGAGGAGGAGCGGTGGTGACGTCAGGAGATGCTCTGAACCTCTACCACGGACGACCGGCAGCGGAAGCCGACCCGGGTCTCGCCGAACGTCCGGCCTCTCAGCAGACCTCCGCCGCGCCCGTGGCCGCAGCCAGCGGGAGTTCCCTGGCAGCGGTCGTGACGGGCAGTGGCTCGGGTGATACCTCGGCCGTCAGTGGCGGCCCCGCGAGCGGCATCAGCGGCCCGGCGCCGACCGCCGGCGGCCCTCCGGGCCCCGCAGCGTCGCCTCACACGTTGATCGCTCGCGCTGCGGTGGCGTCGGCGAGCGGGTCTCCCGCCGCGGCGGCGGCGGTCGGTCAGCCGCCGGCGGAGGCTGTGGCCGGGGTCGGCCACTCGCCGGCGGCCGCGGCGCTGTCTCCGCCGCCGGCCACCCGGCCGAGCAGCATGCTGCAGCGCATGAAGCGGCTGATGGAGCGGGACCAGGCTGCGCAGGCGTCCAGCTCCTGCCAGGCGTCGCCGCGGCCGCCTGAGCTGGCGTCAGGCCTGTCCGACATTGACCGCGCGCCTGCGCCGGCTCGCGCCGGGAACGGCGTCGCGTTGGAAGAGCACCGTAGAACGGAGAGCGCGAGCGCGCCGCCTGCCGCGCCCACGTCAGGAGACGCTGCCGGGGCTGCGCAGACATCCGTTGCTTCGGAAGGACCGTCGGAAGCGGCTCCTGAGGCTGGTGCGTCCCAGGTGTTGCCGTCTACGGAGGGAGGACAGCGTGGAGAAGGAAGACCGACAGCCTGCGGTCCCGCCCCGCCGGAGGACGCGCCGGTCGCTGCCGCCTCGCCGCCGGACAACTGGACGGCGGTGGAGCCGACGCCGCCGGCTCCGTACGAGACGCCCGTGGGTCCCGTTCTCCTCGCCGAGCCTTTGTCTCCTGCGCCTGACGGCCGGTCTCCGCCACTTGTCCGCTCCACGCCTGCCTTGGCGCCGGCGCCGCCCCCGCCGGGTGTGCACGCTGCGCCGTCCGCCGCCGCCGCTGCGCCAGCGTCGGAGACCCTCTCGTCGGCTGCGCCGCCGGCAGCGGCGCCCGCGGGTCGGGCGGCGGCGCTGCGCAGCCAGATGCGTCGCCTGCTGGAGAAGAAGAAGCAGCGGGCTGCGCTGGAGACCGAGGCCGCCCCGCCGCCGGCCGCGGCGCATGGTGGACGCCTGGGACCTGGAGAGGCTGCGGCAGCTGGCGAGGTGCCATGGGATACGCCGCTAGTCGCGCCGGTCTCGGATCCGTCAGTAGCCCATGTCGCCAGTGTGGCTGCTTCTTCAGACAGCCGGGCATGCAGCGCCGCTGCGTCCGCTCCTGTTCTGCCGGTCGCACGGGCAGGCACTGCTTCTGCGTCGACTGCCGACCGCGTCGCGTCCGGTGGCGGGGATGGTGCTTCCCCAGCTGACGGCGATGCCGTACCACATGACGAGGAGCGGACAGGGCTGTGCGCACTGGCGGCTGGACAGATGAGGCTAGAGACGTGCGCCGCCGCGGCTGAGGCTGTGAAGGCTGGGTCTGAACCGTGCTCAGACTCTCAGGATGAGGTCGTGAGGTCGGACCGGGCCGGATCGATGTCGACAGAATGTGAAGGGCTTACAGCAGGGAACGAGCGCGGGGGATGTCCCGAGCCCGGCCTTTACGAGGAGACGCCCCTGTCGGCGTTGACCAGCCGCGGCCGAGAGCCGCAGGAGTCCGGCCAGCAGCCGACAGGAACGAGAACAACGGCGTGGTCGGCGGACGACGCTGAGACTGCGGCGGTGTCGGTGCCCGCGAGTGCGCCGTCTGAACCGGACCGTCCGTTCGAGCACGCGGCCGCCACACCGGCGCAGGCGGACACGTCGCTAAAGCGACCGGAGATGGAAGAAGCATCCCAAGGCATGCAGGGGCTGGCGGGGCAGCCGGAGGCGGCGTCGCCGCCCAAGGCGACTCCGCTGCCAGACTGGGCTCTGGGCAGGCCCGAGACGGAGACGCAGCCGCGGCCGCAGGACGACGCTGCTCCGCCGCCCTCCGCGGCTTCCGCCTCGTCGCCGCCGCCCGCCGCAGTGTCCGCCTCGTCGCCGCCGCCTGCCGCGGTGTCCGCCTCGTCGCCGCCGCCCGCCGCGGTGTCCGCCTCGCTGCCGCCGCCCGCCGTCTGCCTCGAGTCAGACTCGCTGGTAGTCGAGCCAGAGCCGACGCCGCTCTCCGCCGTGGCGGCCGCAGAGCGGCCCGATCTGACCGGCCTCCTGCAGGAGCTGGCCGAGCTGGACTCATCCGGCAGCAAGCCGGCCGCCGCCACCGGACCTGCTGGAGCCACGCCTGCTCTGACCGGCCGCCTGCAGGAGCTGGCCGAGCTGGCCTCGTCCGACAGCGAGCCGGTCGCCGCCGCCGGAGCCGCTGGAGCCGCTGGAGCCGCTGGAGCCGCTGGAGCCGCTGGAGCCGCTGGAGCCGCGCCGGCGCCCCGGTGAGCTTCCCTGGCGCCAGGCGCGCCGTGTCAGCGGCTGTAGAATGGTGGCGCTGCTGGCGCCGTCGTGCGGCCCGTCACCCGGTCACCGCTCTCGTTCGGCTGTCGCGCCGCCGTGCTGTCACTGGTCACTGGTCACTGAAAGAGGCTTGGCTTGTAGGATAGTGGTTTCGTATTCAGAGTGTTGAAGGCTGCGGCGTGCTCTCCTAGTTTAGGTGGTAGCGTGCTGTCTGTGGGAGTTTGTGTTTGTTGGGATGATTCTGAAAAGTTCTGGCCGTGACACGAACTCATTGGAAGACGAGTACCACGGGTGATACTGTCAGTGCCGTAGTGGTTTGGTTCATGTCTTTTTCTACCGGGCATAATGTGCAAAGATGTCATTGTCTTGAGTGCTCGGGATTTGTTTGGGTTTAGAAAATATTTGTCTGGAAAGTAAATGCTCAGTCTTAAGGAAAAAAATGAAACTGATCATACTTGTAGGCGGATCCGATTCCTTTAATGTAGATTTAGTTCGCGGTCGCTA